GAGTCTCATCAGGCCGTCTGACAGCAATGAAGCTTGGCTAGCTGAAGATCAGTTTTTCACTGGATTCTGTTTGTGATCTGAGCATCAGTGCTTGGCCTTGGGTGAAGGCTGACAGCACACACATCCCACTGGGTTTTGCCCTTGCAGTACCCCAAACACAAGGTTCCAGCTACCTCACCTGCCCCTAGCTGAGGGCTGAGAAGAGGCATATCCTTGCTGCTACTTCAGTTCCCTATAAACTGCTGAATCCCCACAGCAAGAACTACAAAGGGTATAAAAACAGGGAGGAAGCAAATGCATGACACAGGCTAAGGAATGAAGTTTCTGGAAAATAATTCTGCTGACTTGAGTTGCCATGAGCAGTGACTCCAAACCATAATACATTCTCTTGGTTCATATTTGTACATGGTGGTAGAAAATTAATCAGTGTGTGGGATAGTGTGAATTTTTTTCCACAGGCAATACTACTAATCTGTCACCTGCAACATTCACCTGGGACACTTCCCAGGTGTCCTTACACCTGTGGTACAAACAGAAATGAGAGGGCTACTTAGATAGCAAGAGCAAAATCCTTTTCAAGGCCCACAGTGTCAGATTCAACTCTAACTGACCTATATGATAACATCAGGTGGCCCTGTATTCTGCAGTGCTCTTGATCTTGCAGAAAAGCAGTGCAGATGGTGTAGTAAGGCACCTGGTCCCATTCTCACAATTTATTAGGGCTGTGAAGTGTTGCCTAAATCTTGAATGCCCGAGGCTTGAAAGGGGGAAAATAATCCAACCAACCAAATACAGAGAGGCTGATGCCTCAGTCAAGGTGGAACTGAGAGTCCACCCATCTGAAAATTTCAAATGGGTTCTCTCTGGGCACACCTGATGGAGATGATCTGTGACAAGAGCCCAAACCTCTCTCACCATGCACATGTTAACTACAGCCAAGTCATTTTAACACAACTTTAAGATGATGTCACAAGGGGTGGAAAATGAGATTCTGAAATTTATATCCCAAGAGACAGCAGAGATTTTTAAGGGCAAATGACTGGCTGAAGGAAGCACTGCAGGGCAAGGCTGAGGGAAGAAAAACAGCAACAGCAATAGGCACAAATGGCAGCTAGGCAGGGCCTCAGCCAAAAGAAAAGCCAGGCTGGTAGTCCTGACATGTTCTGGAAGCTAAAACAAAGACTGAGAACTGAGCAAGAGGAACAAGCATATGGCTTGAGAACCCAGTCAATTTCATCATGTAATCTGAATTACACAGAGCTGTTCTTGCCATTAATCATTACCTCTCTCCTACAGCAGGAAAGCAAGCATGCTCCGCTGAAAACTGCATTCTGACTTCATGCAAGACACAGGAAGGCTGGAAGACCAGGGTCCAGGACTTGGTGCTGCTACTTCAAGGAGAGAGGCAAGGAACTCAGTTACAAGCAAGGAAGATTCCAACATGGAAGAGTTCAGTTAAGGAGAGGGCTCTTCATAATGGCTCTTCATTCATCCTACAGGATGAATGCTTGTCTCTGTGATCCCTACAGTAACTGCCATTCCAGCAGCAATCCCAGATCAGTCCATTGGCATCAAAGCCAGAAGGAACAGGGGAAAGGAGATGGCAAAGAAATGGAAACTGATGAAGGACATAGCTCAGCCTCTAACTGCCTAACTGCTAGGTGGCAGCAGAATGCAGAACATCCTGGATATCAGGTAGCTCTCCTGCTCTCCCTCGAGGCTGTGCAAGGAACATTATTTATAACTAAGTCCTCTCGGAAGCTGCTCTCATCACCCTGCAGCAGAGGAACCTGGTTCTCTCACACACCCAAGAAACAGCTCTTGATGGTACAGGCAGAAATTTCCCTACTTCCAAGCTTCTCCTAGAAGGAAAATCAGATCAGAGTAAAGCCAGAAGTGCAAACATACATGTAACAGCTGAATGAAGTAAATTGTGATTGGTAGATATGATAGGGACATAACACTGATGCTGTGGGAAAAAAAGAAGAATATCCAACAGCCTTGGAAATATGTTGCTTCTAAGCAGAGGACAGTTATTGGGATCTTGGCCTTGCTTACACATAGCAGCTAAATGGGTTCTCTTTCTCAACAGGCTAAACCACCAGGAGCAGCACTCCAACTGAGCTGAACTCAGTGACATAACATACTGGTATCTCTGGCCAGAATCAGTCATGGACACTGAAAGGAATAAACAGATGGCCTGATGTCCCCAACAAGAAAGCTGACATCATGGCCAACTTCCACACTGGATGTGATAACAGCATTTCAAAAGCTTGAAGTAGTATGGGGAGCAGAAATGCTTCAATCTGCATACTCCAGAGCTGAGAAGTGGAGCAGAAATGTGTTTTTTCTCTTGAAGAGAAGCTGCTTATTTCCTTTGGAATGGGAAGGTCTAACCAGGCTGAGACTAGAATTGCCACATCTGCAAGGGATCCAGGTGTACAGCTTTCAGGACACAACAAATGCTTTCTTTAGGGGAATTTTCTGAAGCTGCAGCTCCTGGTCTCACAAACCCATGGCTAGAAAGCTCTGACAGCATCAGCTCCAAGCAACTGAGTAACAGCATGTGAGAGTTCTGGCACAGACCCACACAAGTGGCTTATAAAAGGAGGATATAACTTGGAGAGCAGCTTCTTGTAACAGGACTTGTAAATGGAATGACAGCCAAACCCAAAAAATTGCAGGAAGCCAGTAATATGTATTCAGAGACTATCATAGTGCTCAAGGAAAAAAAATCAAAGGAAACTGATCACAAGGTGAGTTTTCTTAAATCAGACTGTTGAAAGGAGCTCAAATGCCACAGTGAGCAGTGCAGGCGCTAAGAATGAGGGAGGCAGGTGACACACTAAAGATGCTGAGGAAGCAAAGCATTCTTTGATCTGGAGATGATGCACCATCTGGTCAACAAGCACTCAAGCTATTCCACAACAAAACACTGTCTCTTGGCCATATACCAGAAATTGAAGGTTACAGCACTAGTAATTAATTTCTTAATTTCTCAATGCTCAGAAGAGAGAAGCAGCCCAAACACATGACTGTTTGGAGAAGCACATTAATTGGAAATGTGCTGGCACAATACTGACAAGAACTGACATAAAAACAGCTTTAGAGAGATGCCAGAACACGATGCCTCAGCACCTTAAGGGGACAGGAGGAGGCTGAGGGGAAGCTCTATCTCACCATCACAGGCACTCTGATACAAAACCCTTGACCAGAAAGCAGACACTCACCTACCTCCCAGCCTGGTGCTCATACGTGCCACAGTTAGCTTAAGGGGAAACCAGAAAACTTTATAGCAAGCCAGCCTCCTATAAAAGTTTAAAATAGCAATGCTATCATCTCTTGGGTGTTTTTTTGTTCTTGACACTTAAAATCCACTGTTGAAGCAGGAGGGAGACTCAGCTTTCCCTGAGCACAGAGAAGCAGCACTGTCCCTCAGACAGCAGCCAGGGTTCACTTGTCCCCAGTGGCACGTTCGAAACCTCAGCACTGGGTAACTAATGAACACTTACACAACTACAGTGCAGACAAAGAACCTGAGCTTTAATGTGACTTGAAATTACTAAGGCCAGATCCACAGCTCATATGAATGTGCCCTGAGATTTTAGAAGTAACCTTCAAATGCCTTGTCTTCACTGACTGGGTTTGTTTCTTTAAGTCTAAGCTGGCTTTCACAGGACAGCCAGATTGAAGTAAAAGTATGCTTGCAATTCACAAGGAAAGCAATATTATTTTTAGCAATGAGGAAAAAAAAACAATCAAGAAATCTTCCAGATACTTCTGTAGTACAGATAAGCACATAAACCCTGGATGGAATTCTGATATAAAAGATGTTTATCTTAGATATTCCGAATGAATTCTTATTTTCTTTTGTTTAAAGTTGTTTTCCTTTAAGAAAAAAACCCCATCAAACTTATTTTTTTTCAGCCAAGACAAAAAAGAATTGCCTTGGATATTTTTTCTGGAAAAAAATTTCAAAAATCGTGTTCTCAAAAAATAATAAAACCTGTTTAAATTTTTCATTTGTAATACAATTTGATTTCTTCATCAGCTGTAATAAATTTATTTTATTTTCTAATCTTCATTAATTTTGACTTCTGTACCATAATATATACATTTTCCTTCCAAAAAAAGTTAATGAAGCAAGAAACTCCAATAGCAACTTTCTCTAACAAAGTCCTAGCAAAACTACCATTCATAGGTAGTTTTTTCAAGGTATTCTAAACACTTGGATAGCGTGGTCTCCAGTCTCTAGCCTGCTCTGTTTTGTGATTTCACTGTGTAACTGTCCACATTTATTTAAATTATATTAATTCCACTTGCTAGTGCCACTGATTAATTCAGTAATACAAGTCAAATAAAAATAAATTGTACAAAATTAGATTGACATCAGACTGAACGACACACTTCCAACACACAAAGATGTGTTGCCAATAATACAAAACATCATTGGGAAGATGGTCTAAGTATGTATTATCTAAAGTAAAAGACTGTCTAATCTCCTGTTTCAGCTCTCCACTAAGGCTTGACAGAAAATAGGATTATCTCTTTATCCACAGTAGAAATCTGCAACATTTTACAGAGTATTATTTCTTATTGCAAGAGGACACAGTCCCTGTTCTTTGGTGCATCTGATATGAGCTGTCAAAAATTATGAACTCATATCCATATTTATGCAATTACAGTACTGGTGCTTTGCACCTAAGAAAACACAGAGCCTTTTATCTAGATATGCCAACACCTATTTCTTAATTAGTGACTTTGACAAGCTATACAAAAGCAAACCAGAAAAACCATACAGGTGCCCAAAATTCAAACTGAAGGTTACACTTTAACAATGAAGACCATGGATAGAAACTGTAATTGCCAGTCAACAATATTTTATTAAATTTGATATTTAGCAACCATAACAGGAATATTTGTGTAATGATGCAAAATATAGGAATGGTTAATGCAAATCAACATGAAGACAAAGGATAAAACATCAATATGCACATTACCTTAGCATTCTCCAGCAGAACTTCATCTCTGCCTAAGCCAGGTCCTATGACAACCGAGTGCAGCCGTGGTAACCACTTTTCCACCTCATGGACAGCATTGGGACTATCACTACAAGGAAGAGTGGAAAAAAAAATTAAGTTTAAAAAGGCTTCATTTCAGTATGAAGTATTTCCTATCTCGAGTGTCAGGCAATTTTATCCTCCAAACTACCAAGAATCTGTGACCCAAAAAATATAGAATGGTTTTCCAAATAGCTAAAATGAAAAATTTCTCTCAATTCATTCTTTAGGGGATACCACATAAAAATGAGGAAGTAACTGCAAGTATCCACTACAGCTGTTACAAAATAAAAAAAAATAAAATCCAAGCAGGAAACCAACAATATTTAGAGTCTATCACAATTCCCTATTTAATGGTTCTTTGCAGAGGTTATACCTTGGAGAGAGATCCACCATCTCCCAGGTACATATTGCAGCTTGCTGGAAATGATGCAATTGTTTATCACCCCAAATGGCAGAATGATAAATGTACTCATACGCTTTTTTGTCAGTTGCTTCATAAGAATTTGTTCCAACTGAATTACAGCCAAATTGTCCCCTTTCCCCAAAAGGCAACAGGAGAAACAAGCTATTCAGTATGGGCATTATCTGCTTGTAATGCTTAAAATTTCTATGGCATTCTGGTTTTTGTCTGCATTGGAAAAATGATGAGAAAATTCCCTGCCAAATATAGCTGCCACAATACAGCATTTAGCCACTGACCAGAACCGTTTATTTTGTTCTGATCAGTTTTGTTGTGTAAATAGGTCAGAATATTTTGAAAGCACTGCCCAGCATTTGCAGTTAATCCTTACTGACAGTATGGAGGGAAAATTTAGCCTCCCTCCCCCCCATCTCTGACATTAGTGACAACAACAAATGAACATCCTAACTGCAGCACGGGGGAATAAAGCTCCCTGTGGGCTGAGCAAGGGGGTACTGCCTCACAGTATTGCTCAGATTATTGCAAGCTTGCAATACTCCAACAAAGCTGTATTATTACAGATGAAAGCCACTGCATGTTTTTCATAACCAACAGCTGTCCTGATGGGACACAGCACTTAGGAACAAGTGTTTAGGTTGTGTCTGGCAGAATCAGCAAATTCCACAATGATTTCTGCAAGTGCCAGGCAGCAGCCCAAAGCTTTTGCAGCTGCAGGGAGCGAGGCATCCCGTCAAGGGCGCAGGGATGCGGAGCATGGCTGCAGCCCAGAGACCCCTCTGCCGACAGCAGCTGCCTCAGGGAGCCCAGAGGCGCCTGCGCTGACACCACAGCACAGCTCTGTCAAAACAGGGCTGCTGGGTGCCAGTGAGGGCTCTGCAAGGGCAAGGGGGACAGTGAACAGCAGGACATCACTGTCCCTGGAGCAGTCCCTGCCCCAGCAGGCTGAACTTCTTCCATTTGAGCACTGCAGATCCCTCCTCCTCCTCTACCTCGCATGGAAACCAGCTTGAGAACTGTTAAACAGCTCACTTTTATTTTTATTTATCTCTGTACCATCACATATCAGTTTATGATGTAGACAGAAGATGGAAATAAAAATTATTCAAGAAATAGCTAAAACACTATTTAAAAAAAGACAGGTCTTTAATATGTGGTAGGTTGAATATGTGAAAAACTGCCTGCAAACCAAACTCTAATAAAACATCATAATTTCTGAATGCAGACCACTTTTCTTTGTTCACATACTGAACTTCTTTTATCTTTGAAGAGCAATATTTATCTCAATATACATACACCATGTAGTTGTAAGAACACTGCAACTTCTAGGTATGCAAGGATGTCTGGACTCAATATACCTTTGGATAGTAGAAGCCAAATAGATTAACAAAAGCTTCATTAAGCATACGCTAAGAATAGAGCCACAGGTAGTATCATAAATCTCTTCTACAAATACCTTATACAAATAATCTAATAATAAAAAAAAATTGTCAATTTCTTTATATTCAGGACTGAAATAAGATAGTTTTGTCTAAAACTCGGTAATGTGCACTTTTCAAAACAAAGCCATCTCTTGGGAAATAAACAGTCCAATATTAAGCCACTCCTGCACACTTTGCCTCTGGTAATAATAAAAACCTACTGTGGAGCTTGTCATCTTCCAAGCATCTTACAAACATTATGTTCAACTCCTTTGCAATGTCACATCAAGAAGCAATTCAAGATGTGAAGGGTCAAGAGATTAAAAATGGCGATAATGACTACTACTTTGCAAAATCAGCTATAAAACCATGCTGTAAGTAACTAAGGGATTTTATATCTTCATCAAGAAGGCAGAAAAATACTGTCTCACAACAGCACCATGCCAGCTTCACTTCAGGACACTGAATGTTCACAACAGCTGTGCTACACAGCTACGGACACTGTACCAATTTCCTGCTCCTGCAGCTGCTCTGGAAGTGGAAGGGCTGTTGTGTTATCTACAGTTTATGTCCACACACGTACATCAAACCAGCAGCATTTTAAAGCTGATAGGGTGCAAATGACCAACAAGCAGCTTTCTTCAGGCAGGGGTAAACTTTGAATGTTCCTGACCATGGGATTTAGCACAAAGGCAGAATTCCTCTAGCTCTTACCAGCTACAGTCTACACACAATGTTTGAACACACCCAGAAAAGCTCTCTCACTGAGATCAGATGGCCTCTGCACTCTCAGCTCCAAAACAAAGCTCAACCTGCCTGTCAGGCACAGTTCCTGCACCATGGTAATTCCTCATCAGTGGAAAAAGTGGCTGGGAGAGGCTAGCTGGCATGGCTCAAAATCCTTGCTAAGGATCATTTAGATAATTTGCCTGTACAGGTAATTGTGCCTGGGTACTGAGGAATAAATATATCTTGGCAGTATTTAGTTTATCATTACAGAAAAAGTCCATGCATGCTCTTGTTTGCCTGTGGATCAATACCAGACACAAATGTCTTTGGGAAAGGCTACTGTGGAGGCACCAGGACAGAATGCCATGTCAGGTCCTCCCCTGTTCACAGTGCACTACACTCACACAGAGAACACAGTGAACCTCCTTTGTCACATCATGCCAATTTCTCTGCCTGGTTACTAACCTGATCTCAAACACCTCCTTTTACTTCCACTGCCTCCACTGCCTCCATTACCTCCACTGCACAAGACATTGAAACAACAACTGAAATTAGCGTTGTACTTTAAAAAACCCCAACATCTCTCTAGAAAGATAAGAGGTATGGAGAAGACTTCCCCTTGATCAAAAGAGATGTGATCTTCAAGCTTTGACAGAAATTAATCAAGTGAGCAAGAATCACTATTGCCTTTAGAGGTGCAGAGCCATATGATATCCAACTTGATTTTTTTCCAGAGGAGGTATCACAAATGCAGGACCCCCAATCTAAAGCACAAAGCTACTGATGATATAAAGAGAAGCAAGAAAATCTCTTAAGGCCAGGAGAAAACAATATTTCAATTTCTGAGAAGAGAGTAAAAACCTTTAAGACAAACTTTGATTAAATAAAAATGTGGGATTTTCCAAAATAAAGCAAGTTTTCTTGAAGGTGATAGGGCAAGACTTCGGGAGCTAGTCTGGCTTTCCCCTAATACAAAAACACAAACTCTAAACCATGAACATACAAAACAGGAATAACTGGGAAGCTTAATCCTAGCAGCAATACCTGTAAACATGGAGGGTGAACTGCAGTACCATTGTGCAGATGTGTGCAAAAAAATATTCTAGTGACAAAGCACATCAGGGAATATATGGGGAATGAACAGATCTCCAACAGCTACTTCCAGCCAATCACTAGGTGTTATGTGACATGTTATCAGATGCCATTCTGATGAAAATCTAGATTATTAAAACTCTCTGTTGTTCAATCAAGCCCCAAACACTTCCTCAAAACCTTAGCTTGTCTGCAAAGCAACCAATAAACCTCTGCCTGCACACATTAAAGAACTATCACAGGGTAAACACATAAATGACAACTGCAAGACAACAGAATAGCCAATAAGAAAAACTGAAGGAGCTTCTGTAATTTGTGTCATATCTGTGAAGCTGCACAGGTAAGAGTCTAAAGCTAATGTCAGCAATCACAGAATCAACTTCACACATTGTCCATTAGTCAGATCAAGCAGACAGAGGCGGTTACATGGAGGCACATAAAGGAAAAGGACACCAGAGATGGGGTCTGATCAGCTTTCCTTGGCTGTTAAGGAGAGGCTGAGATGACTGATGATCTCTTGGGAAGGCAGACACAGCACCTTTATCATCTGCTGTCCCTGAAGCTGCTGGGTAGACAGGAGCAAGGTATGGTGCTCAGTATCTTGCATGTCTATCTTTTTCCTCTTTTCTCTGTTTACAAAATATATTGAGGAAAGTACTTTCCCTGGCAAAATAGACAGGGATTCTTCAAATTAAACATCACTGAGTCTCTAAAATGGTGAGGACAAATTTTCTTAATAAATTATTAGTGGCTTTAAGTAACTTTTGCCACATTAACCTCATGAAGTTCAAGGAATGCAAGGTGTTGCATCTGGATTGGGCCAATTCTAGATATGAGTACAGACTGGGAGAAGCCATTAGGGGCAGCCTTGAGGGGAAGAGCTAATAAAGAAAGAAGAACTAAGTTAAGCTTTTATAAGCTTAACTTATCTTCAGAACTCTTCTATATTTCACTATGGCACAATGAAAATTGTCCTAAAACACAGTTCTGTAGATCTTCATCTTAGGGAAAGCTTGATGTAACAATCTTTCCAAAAACAGACAAACAAAACCTCCTAACATTAAAAAAAAACTCCAAACCCAAAAAACAAACAAGAAATCCCCAACAAACACCAAAGATGGTAGGTATTGCCCTAAAATCACCCACAGTTCCTAAGCACCTTCTAGGGCTGTTTGTAACAGATATCTGACAGGTGCCATCTGCTTGAAAGTCTGCTCTAGGTTGGTCACTGCCCAGAGTGGGGGACACTTGGCAGCAAGGACCTGAAACACCACTCCCATCCCCAACTCTCTGAAAAAATAAAATTTTGTTCTATGTTACATTTTATTCAAAGACTGGCTTTTACCAAATGATCAAAAGCCACCAAGCAACAGCTTTAAATAATCA